ACACAAACACTGTGAGCCCGGGCCTGGCACGGTGCAGCCTCAAAAGAGCTCCCTGGGCATGAAATACAGGATCTCCAAATCCTATATTTAAAATGGAATCTGGGCATTTTTAATCGGCCCTGCTTCTGAGCGGAGTTGCCTAGTTCTTTGACTTTATTCCCAAGTGTGGCATGCCCAAGAGCAAGGTCTGCATCTCACTACTTCCTCTCAGTGCTCATGAATGTCTGACAAATACATGCCCTAATCCACTCATGCTTGGAACGTTCGCCCTGCTTCCTACTGGTCCTTCCAGGCTCACCCTCCTCAGGCCATTCGCCAAGCTGGAGCCACAGCCAGTTGTCAGTCAACACATTTGTATTAAGTTTTTACTATATTTCAGACCTATTTCTAGGTAATAGGGATTATTATGGGCTGAGTTATGCCCCCCGAAAAGTTCATTTGTGGAAATGCTAACCCCCCAGTACCTCAGAATGTGATTATATTCATGAATAGGATCATGACTGAAATGATTAAGGTAAAATGAGGCCATTAGAACGGGCTCTATACCAGTGTGACTGCTCTCTTTAGTTAAGAGGAAATTTGGACACGGACTCATCCCGAGGGAAGGCCATGCGAAGACATGGAGAAGGTGGCCACAGACAAGCCAGAGAAAGAGGCCTGGGCCAGAGCGTGTCTCACAGCTCCCGGGAGGAATCAACTCTGCCAGTGCCTTGATCTCCAATTCTCACCTCCAGAACAAAATCTATTTCCGTTGTTGAGGCTGCCCACCCTGGGATACTTTGTCACTGCAGCTCTAGGAAACTATGACAGGGATATATCAACAAAAAGTGATAATAACAACAAAAAGATGAGGCACGTGTCCTCCGTGAAGGAAGCAGATGATACATTCTTAAATTTCGGGACCAAGAACAGGATGATGGGAAAGAGGGAGAGCCTGGGGTACCGGGGCAAATCCTTAAGCAGTGGGGAGGGAAGGCCCCTCTGTGCAGGGGCCATTCGCCCCGAGACCTAAGTTGGAGGAGCAGCCGTCCCTGTGAGCTCCCGGGGGGAGGAGGGGTGCAGAGAGCTCCACGTGTTGGAAACTGCACTGCAGAAGCCTAAGCAGCGCTGGGGCCTTTTTCCTGCCAAGGGCCATTTGGATATTTATAACATCACTCTCGGGCCATACAAAATTATCAACCCAAGAATCAGCCTGCTGTCTTTGGTCAAACATTTAATTAACTCACTCCTAATGTCTTGGCAGGGCCAGGCCATATGATTTCACGGGCCTTTTAGGGATGCTCCCCATACCAGCCCTAGAGGAACAGAAAAAGGCTAGGGGCCTGGCTGGCATTGCTCAGTGATTAGAGTGTCCTCTTACCCCCGTCACTGAAAGGTCTTAGGTTCCCTGTCAAGGGTATGAATCTGGGTTGCAGGTCAATTATGGGCCTGGGTCTGAGTGCATGTGAGAGAAAATGGATATGTCTGTCTTAACATCAATGTTTCTCTCTCTCTCTCCCTCGTTCCCCTCTTCCTTCTACTCTCTCTAAAAATCATTGGCGAGGGAAACTCACTAGACCACGATGGTTCACAAGCTTCCTTCTGAAATGCAATTCTAACGGCTTCACTCCCAGACGCCAGTTGCTGTCTGGCTTCCTGTCCCCGGCATCGTATCTAAAGTAGGTCTGTGGACTCTATTATGGACTGACCTGTGTACATCCACACACACACACACCAAATCTATATGTTAAAGCCCTCAGTCAAATAGGGCCCCTCATAAGACTTATTTGGAGATAGGGTCTTCAAGGAGATAAAGTTAAGTGAGGTCATAATTGTGGGGCCAGTCCACTATCACCGGTGTCCTTAAAAAAAAAAAAAAAAAGGAAGAGAAGCAAGAGTGTGTGTAGACATACTGAGAGGGCAGCCTCCTATAAGCCAGGCAGGAAGGCCTTCCCAGAAACCAACCCTGCGGCACCTTGAAGTTGGACTTCCAGCAGCCAGAGCTGTGAGAAGAGAAGTTTCTGTTGTTTAAGCCCCTCAGTCAGTGGTCGGCTATGGCAGCTCAAGCAGACTGATGCAGAGATTAACTTCCCCGACTGCTCAGTGCTCTCCTTACAGGCGCAGGGCCCACAGACTCTTCGGAAGCAGAATCTGGGGGATGGAGCCCAAGAATCCATGTTTTGAATGGGCTCCTGGTGCTCCATGAGCTCCTGAGGGCAGTGCAGACTGATTTCAAAAAGTAACCCTAGCCAAAGCCGGTTTGGCTCAGTGGATAGAGCATCGGTCTGCGGACTGAAGGGTCCCAGGTTTGATTCCGGTCAAGGGCATGTACCTTGGTTGTGGGCACATCCTCGGTGGAGGGTGTGCAGGAGGCAGCTGGTCGATGTTTCTCTCTCATCGATGTTTCTAGCTCTCTATTCCTCTCCCTTCCTCTCTGTAAAAAAAATCAATAAAATATATTAAAAAACAAACTAACCCTCTGGCTACCAGCTCCTCTGACCACCAGCCTTCCTCTCTGTGCCAGTGAGGACCTCCCATCTTCTCTGGCCTCGGGTGAACTGGCAAGTTCATTCTGCCAAGTTGCTCCATTTCCTCCCACTCTCCCGAGCCCTCCACAAGGCCAGCCAGCACAGGCCTGGCTGTGGAGTCTGGAACCCAGAAGTAAGTCAGCTCTGAGCCCTGGCACACGGAGAGACTATTGCTGTGAATAGCCTGGCTCCGGGCAGATCCCGTAAGGACTGCAGGAGGGGCACTGAGCGACCTGGGAGTGTGGGCAAGTTCCACGCACAGAATCCTGTAGGAGTGGATATGCATTTGTGGTATCTCTGTCTCGCTGCCGTGGAAGCAAGTTGAAGGAAGTGTCCGCCTTACACATCCTTGCCCCCTCCTCCCTCTTGGATATAATGGGCCTCCGTGATTTGTGGGTTTGCGGTCCTCTGGCTGCTTCCAGCTTTACAAGGAGCCGCCCTCCAATGGCTGGGGCTAAGATTTAAAAGCACAAGGCCTGCCCTAGCTGATTTGGCTCAGTGGGTAGAGCATTAGCATCGGTCTGCGGACTGAAGGGTTCCAGGTTTGATTCCTGGTCAGGGTACATTCCTGGGTTGCAGGCTCAATCCCCAGAGGGAGGCATACAGGAGGCAGCCGATCCATGATTCTCTCATCATTGATGTTTCTATCTCTCTCTCCCTCCTCCTTCCTCTCTCAAATCAATATATATATATATTTAAAAACATAAGGCCCATTCTGGCAGAAAAGATATACTTCTGACTACTCAAACCCTGGGTTCTGAGTCTGGTTTTCCACTGACCACCTGTGTGCTGTGGTCTCAGACAATCGTATAATTTCTGAGCTTCCTCGTCTGTGAAAGAGAAGAGGGATAATATTTCCTACACAGGTTTCTTTATAGAACTAAATGAGGCCACCTCTGTTGGCCTTCAGTAAAGGCTAACACATAGGTTACTCTTCACATAACAGATTTGCCCTACTGAAGGCACTGCAAGAGGACACTGGGGAAAATTAAGTGCAATAGACTTAACTAAAATTTAAGTACATAACTCCGTAATACCCCATCTGCATCCCATCCAGCCAACGGCATTTAACTGAGCATACGCCTTCGGGTAGCAGGCCAGCGTTGGAACAGTGGAAACGGGTTCATGGCCTCAGTGCCGAAACTCAGCTCCAGGAGGACAGGGACTTCTTGTTCCCTGATGTATTCCCAGCAGCTAGACCAGGCTGAGCACATAGTAGGTGCACAGTAATTATTGTTGAATGAATGGGCTGAATCGATCAATAAATGACTGGAAGAGATCGGCAAGTGTGACTGAGTGGTTGAGTGTCGACCTATGAACTAGGAGTCCCACATCCATTTCAGGTTGTTGTGTGCTCGATCCCCGGTGTGGGGTGTGGCAGGAGGCAGCCGATCAATGATTCTGTCATCATTGATGTTTCCATCTCTCTCTCCCTCTCCCTTTTATCTCCGAAATAAATAAAAATATATTAGAGACAGAGAGAGAGAAAGAACTGACTGGAAGGTACAATCACAGTGGACAGTGGCTTCTGACTCATTTTTAAGATCTTGAACTTTCATTTCCCTGAGCTGCTTTTCCCCCCCGCTGTGAAGGGAGAGGTGTTAACTCATCTCGAGGCCCTGCAGAGCAGAATTAATACAGTAGTAATAATAATAATAATTAATAATAATAAGCACTGCTGTGGACAGTGCTCAGTATTGTAAGGAATCCTAGGAGGTAGTAGTATTTCACCTCCCCTCTGTAGAAGAGGGAACGGCACGGAGAGGCAGTGGACCTCTCCTCCCGCAGAAGGGGGATTTGATTACTTTCAGAGGAAAAGACGGGGCTCCCACTCAGCAGCGAAGATCCAGTCCCTGAGCGGCGGTAGCCTCTGACGTAGGAGAGACCAGCCTCCAGCCCCGCCCGAATCAGGCAAGCCAGCTCCGCCCCCCGCGTCGTCATAGCAACACTCCGCACATGCGCCTCTGACAGCGGACTTGGCTCTCCAAGCCAAGAGGCTTGCAGGCCCCGCAGAGGCAGGCCGGGCGGCTGGAGCGGGAGCAGGAGCGTGGGAAGGACTCTTAAAGGGACACGGGGACTGCGGATGGTGAGGGCGGGGATCGGTAGGGAGGAGGCAGAGGAGAAGCAGGGCTGTGTGAGCTCTCCTCCGGGAGGTGACCAGGGAGAAGGGAGCTGTGTAAAGGCCCTCGGAGCAATATGGGGATGGCTACCCCTCAGGGAGAAATACGGGGCGGAAGGGACTATGGAATTACACTTTCTGGGTAATGAGAGGGAGAGGGGATGAGTAACCCACCAGGACAGTGAAAGGGAGCGGAGACTGGAAAACTGCTAATGGGGTTATGAGGACGATGGGGCCCCATGCCGCTCCACCACCCGAGGAGGGAGCCAGGCGGCAGGTTCAGAGGGCTCACAGGTCCAGCTTGGGACAGCTACCCACTCCCTTCCCCTGCCCTCAGCGTTCTGCCATCGCCCACCCCGTCCCGGTGCCCAGCCATGGCCAAACCACCCGCCCCTGGCTCAGTGATTGTCCCCGACTGGCACGAGAGCGCCGAGGGCAAGGAGTGCCTGACCTGCATCCTGCGCAGGAACCGCCGCCGGGTGTTTGGTAAGTAACTCCTCCTCCTCTCCGCGTTTCTTCCTCCCCCCCCCCCCCCCCACACACAGCCTGTCACTTGCCATTCCTTAGGGAGAACAGTGTCTGTCCCCTGTCCCTGGAAGAGGGGGTGGGCGTGGGGTGGGGGCGCAGAGAAGCAGGGCAGTGAGGGCCTTTGGCACTGCATTCCTCAGCTTTGGGGCCTCTGGTCTACCCCTGGGGCCCTCACCCTGAAATCGCCTTAGAGCTAATTTCATCATCGGAGCCAGGATCATGGAAACAGGTGAAACTCCGCCAGAAACTACTGTCACCAGAGAGGCTGTTGATTGAGCCCTCACCCCGTGCCAGGCCCTCTGCTGGGCACTTGACACAGCAGACTCGGGTTTCACCTTCTCCACAGCCCATCTCTCAGACTTGTTAAGACTAGCGGGGAGACACAGGCCTCTTTCATCCCGCTGTCTGCAGGATAAGACACTCCTGTTCCCCAGGGTGACGCCAGCTCCCCAGGCGGGGCCGGGCTGGCAGGCCAGCCGAAGGGCCTGGCACCAGCTGTGAGAGGCCAGTCTGACCGGAGAGACTAAGCCCCAGAAAGCTTCAAACCAGAGGATGAGAGGGCACCCCACATGGAGGACTCTGAGGGCCTATGCCTATAGCTGTAGCATCATTTTAGACTTTTTTATTTTGCAAGTTTTAAATTAAAAGCATTTAGAGCCCTGACTGATGTGGCTCTGTGGATTGGAGCGTCATCCCACACACCAAAAAGTGGTGGGTTCGATTCCCGGTCAGGGCACATTCCCAGGTGGTGGGTTTGATCCCCAGTCAAGGTGTGCACAGGAGGCAACTGATCGATGCCTCTCACATCCACGTTTCTCTCTTTCTCTCTTCCTTCTGCTCTCTAAAGTCAATTTAAAAATTATAAAGATCTTGCCAAAACCGGTTTGGCTCAATGGATAGGGGACTGAAGGGTCCTGGGTTCGATTCCTGTCAAGGGCATGTACATTGGTTGCGGGCATATCCCCAGTAGGGGGTGTGCAAGAGGCAGCTGATCGATGACTCTCTCTCATCGATGTTTCTAACTCTCTATCTCTCTCCCTTCCTATCTGTACAAAATCAATAAAATATATATTTTAAAAAAAAATTATAAAGATCTTGATATGTTAACTGCAAGGAGTTTATTTACAGTAACGGAGAGTGCTTTTGCTGATATTTCTCTACTGAGGCAAGAATTATGAAACACCTTGCTTTTCCATGTGAGAAATCTAGGGCATGTGATAATGATATCAATACAAACCATCTCCAGCGTCAAACTTAAAAAAATGATTTGCTTTTGTTTGGAGTGGGCTTGGCCCAGCTCACATAGCAGAGTGTTCTCAGGAGAGCTTACCCAGGTGCGCTGCCTGTGTCCCAGGCCTCGGGAATGAGAATGGAGAACCCCAGGTGGTTGGCACTGAAAAAAGCTCTTAGAGGGGAAGGGTCTGATGGGGCAAGACGCTGGCTGGGTCAACCTGATCCCACACGGCTCCCTTCTCGCCCAGGGCTGCTCGAGCGACCGGCGCTGCCCCCCACCATGGCCATTGACACGGCCAGCTACAAGATCTTCCTGTCCGGGAAGAGTGGTGTGGGCAAGACGGCGCTGGTGGCCAAGCTCGCCGGCCTGGAGGTGCCCGTGGTACACCATGAGACCACTGGTGAGTCCGTCCCTGGAGGCCTGCCCTGGGGTGGGAAAAGACCGCCCCTGGACCACAGGGTCTGGGGTTTGAAGCAGCCCCTCTATTTGTTCCGCAGCCATGGACAGTCTGAGCCACACTGGCTCCTCTGTCCAACAGGGGTAATGGGACCGATCCCACGGGGCTGTTGGGAGGGTGGTCCTAGAGACAGGGGTGGGAACACGCCTCGTGGTGAGCTGGCGGAAGGTAAGTGCTCAGAAAACACGAAGCTTTTCTTGTTTCCTTCCATTGGATGCTGATTGGCCATCACATCCCAACATCCTCCAGTGTCCTGGGCCTTTGGGTCCCCTTGTATGTATGAGTGAAGTTTGGTTGTCACGGTCGGGTCTCGGGCTCTATCTGCCTGGTAGACGGGAGGCTCCTCTAGGGCAGGTCGGTTTCCCTCAGACGGAATTCTCCAGGTCGGGGCCTATGCTTTCCCTATCAGACTTGGACCCTCGAAGGCGGGGACGTGTTCTTCCAGCTCCTTCCTGGCCCCCTCCCCCGCACCTCTCTCCACCTCTGCCCCTCCCACGCTAAGTGGCTGCCCCGGCCTCGCCAGGCATCCAGACCACCGTGGTGTTTTGGCCGGCCAAGCTGCAGGTCAGCGAGCGTGTCGTCATGTTCCGCTTTGAGTTCTGGGACTGCGGGGAGTCTGCGCTCAGAAAGTTTGACCACATGCTGCCGGTGAGCAGGCCGGTGGGCCTGGGTGGGTCCCGGGGGGCGGGGGGCGAGAAGGGAGTTGGTTGCCTGAGGTGGGCCTCTGAGCCCAGGCGTCTGAGCCCTCCCACTTGGTTTGCAGGAGCCAGGATTGGGCTTGAATGGGCTGAGGGTGCTGCCCCTGCTGGGAGAGCTCTGAACTGGCGCTGGGGACTGGATCCCAGCCGCCCTGGGACCAGCCACGCGCCATTCGGGCCTCAGTTTCCCCGCTGTGAAAGGAGGGGTTGTGCTGAGACCTCTCAGGGCCCTGCAGCAGACGGGAGGGCTCTGGTCCTGTGGCACAACCTCGAGTGAGCCTCTCCCTCCCCAGGCCTGCCAGGAGAAGACGGACGCCTTCCTCTTCCTCTTCTCTTTCACCGACCGAGCCTCTTTCGAAGACCTCCCTGGACAGATGACCCGCGTAGCCGGCGAGGCCCCTGGTGTCGTCAGGATGGTCGTTGGCTCCAAGTATCCTTTGGGCGGCCCCTGCGACTGCCAGAGGCCACACGTGGCAAGACATGCAGCCGACCTCTGCTCCGCTGTGGGCCCAGCCCCACAGGCTTTATCTGAAAGGCTGCAGCAGGGTCTCCCTCAGCCCCCGGGATGTGGGCTCCAGGGAGGAGGAAGAGGCTGAGTGCGATGGGATGGTCAGCAGCGTTGCCCGGCCAGGCTCCTTAGCCCCCCTCCAGGTTTGACCAGTACATGCACACGGACGTGCCTGAGCGTGACCTCACAGCCTTCCGGCAGGCCTGGGAACTGCCCCTCCTGCGGGTGAAGAGTGTGCCTGGGCGGCGGCTGGCCGATGGGCGCACACTGGATGGGCGGGCGGGGCTGGCTGACATTGCCCATGTGCTCAACGCCCTGGCGGAGCAGCTGTGGCACCAGGACCAGGTGGCAGCTGGCCTGATCCCCAGCCCTACAGAGAATGCCCCCGGCTGACATGAATGGGCCCCTGTGGTCCTGACTCCGGACTCTCAGGTGGCCCAGAGCAGGGGATGGGACCCAGGACCTAGGGCTTGGTCAGGAAGCTTGGTCTCATCCTGAGGACTGGGCAGGGAGGAGAGTGAAGACTCTGCCCAGAAGCACTTTCCTTGCAGAATTCATGGCATGAGGTGTGGGCACACAGCTTTGTGGGGCAGTGGTTTGAGGTCCTCTGGCCTTCTCCCTTGGCCCTGGGGGCCCAGGCTCTGGAAACTGGAGAACTGCATGGGCAGGACCCCAGGACTCCAGCATCTCCCCAACCCCTTCTGCAGCACATAGAGAAGAGAAGATGACTGGGGGGAGAGGGCGTCTCAGCTGGGCCCTGGACCTCAAATGACTTCAATCAAGATCCCGTATTACAGAGTGGGACAAAAGTAGGTTTACAGTTGTTTGTATGGAAAATAAGACCATGAACTTGTTCATTTTTTAAAAAGTATTTGTCTCTTTTATATATATATATATGCCTAAACAACCATTACAACCAATTGACTGAATGACCAGTAGACCAGTCGCTATGACATGTACTGATCACCAGGGAGCAGACACTCAATGCAGGAGCTTCTCCTGGTGGTCAGTGTGCTCCCACAGCCAACCTCCTGCGGTTGGCCAACCTCCCAAGGTCCCTACCCCCAGCCGGCCCAGATCATCCCTGATAGGGACTGAGTGAGAGGACCCTGATCAGCCCCAATCATCAGTCAGGCTGAGGGACCCCACCTGTGCACGAATTTGTGCACTGGGCCTCTAGTAATTAACAAATAGTAATACAAAGAATAAACTCTGTGTTTCACATACTCACAACTGTATACATTTTATCCCACCCTGTAGTTGAGGTAATACCTTCTGCTCTATCAGAAAACCCTAAAGTCTCAGTGGCTTACCTCTAGAAGTTTTTCTCTTAGGTCTCACCTCAGGTGGAGATGAAGGTGGCTTTGGGGTCTTGGCTCCATGCATTCACTCTGAGACCCAGGCTCTGAGGTCTTCAACACGTGGCTTTCCAGTTTGCCCTGGGACATCACCATCCCGTGAGCAGACCAGTGCGTGCAAGTGAGAGGTCACCCAGGAGGTTTCTGTGGACCTGGCCTAGGGCCGTGTGCCTCATTTCTGTCCACATTCTTTGGCCAACCCCTAGTCACATGCTCACAGGGAGTTGCAGGGGAGGCTGGGAAATGTCCTCCTGGGTGTCCAGGAGGTGAGCCCCCCACGCTGCAGTGCCTTTCTTAATCGTGAAGCTTTCAGACTAGGCTTTGGACAGGGGCCCTGTCAGTCTGGGGGAATCAGAAAGCATCATGGACCAGGCGGAGTCAGGGAGTGAGTTGGCCTGTGGGCAGCTCTGCCCTGTGGGAAGCGAGCAAGGACAGGAGCAGGAAAATGAGTGAACTTGTTCTTTTTTTTTATTATTATTAAGTATTTGTCTCTTTTTAAAAACATTTATTTATTTTTAGAAAGAGAGGGGAAGGGAAAGAGGGGAGAAAGAGAGAGGAGAGAGAGAGAGAGAGAGAGAGAGAGAGAGAGAGAAATATCCATGTGAGAGCAAAAAATCGATTGGCTGCCTCCTGCATACCCCCTACTGGGGATTGAGCCCACAACCTAGGTATGTGCCCTTCTGGGAATTGAACCAGCAACCTTTCTGAACATGGGACGATGCCAGCGCTGAACATGCCCATTTCTGTATCTCACCCGACACTGGTGAATTCAGGCTAAAGTGAGGGTGGAGGGGTGGAGGACCTTTGAACTTTCTGCAAGTCCCTTATGATACCCCACTGGCTCCATAGATTGACTCCTGGGCTGAGGCCTGGCCTGAATCTAACCCAGCTGGCAGGGCTCTGAAGGTCTAGGTTTACCGATCCCCAAATCCATCTGGCCCTTGGAGACCCTCCTGAGAAGTCAGCACTGGCAACTTTGTACACTCACACTCATATGTGATCATGTGTGCACATATCAACACTCCTGGCACACACAGGAGGCTCATATATATCCCTGCTCACACTCCTGAGCACACTGCCTGCCTGCCTGGCACTTGCCACATAGGTCTACTTTGGGCACTGCCCATAGGCTTATCAACCCTTCCAGGGTCTAAAGGACTGACCAGCATCTTCTTAGCACCAACTCTGGTTCACAGCTGAGGCCTGAGCTTATCTCATACCCTAGGGAAGGACCTCAAGACTCACAGTGTGAATAGACATTCCCACTGTGGCCTCCAGCTCTGCTCCCAGGCAGCCGGCCTTCTGCTTGGTCCCCCTGTTCTTGGCTCCCGTTGACTTTACCCCCTCCCTCCTCAGGGCAGCAGCAGATTGTGGGAGCAGCCCCGGTGAAGGTGGCCTCTGGGCCAGACTCTGAGCCTCCAGCTACAGGTCCCATGTTGTGAGCGCCAGGTACCTCACACCCAGCCAGTTATCTCTGGGCTGGCAGGGGCACATGGTTGGTATTAGGGGAAGGTGGGTTGAGGACAGAGCATATGGGCTGACTCGATGGCTTGTGCCAGCCCCTTTGCACCCAATAGAACTGTGGCCAGCTCTCCCTTTGCCCAGAGATGTACAGAATCCAGACCCTGGTCAGTGGCATGTACCTTGGTGGAGATGCCTTCACTTTCAAAGTCTTCATCTTCCCATTGGTTCGTTTCTACTCCTCTCCCTTCTACGTGACATCCTTCAGGGGCGGTGAGGAGCCCCTGCCCTCTGAGGCTCTTGCCTCCCAAGGAGGTGATCAGCAGGGTAGCAGCATCCTTGAGCCTCCAGACTTTTCCCTACCAGCATCTTGTTGACCTTGAAGCTGGTCCTTGATTTCCTTGGGCATCGGTTTTCTCAGCTGCAAAACATATGGGCTCTTCATGGAGCCGATGTGAAATTCTAACACCTTGCATTCGTTTACTCACTCCTCCCTGGGTGGTCCAGACCTGTCACCCCCACCTCCCAGGGCTGCAGGTTGGGGGTCATTGCCATCTCTGCGGTGGCCTTTCACTGAGCACCTTGGACTGGATGCTGGGGACCCAGAAATAAGCCAGAGCTTTTCATTCCCCCAGGGAGCCTCCAGGGTTTAACAAGGACTGGTTAAGCTGAAACCGGTTTGGCTCAGTGGATAGAGCGTTGGCCTGCGGATTCAAAGGTCCCAGGTTTGATTCCGGTCAAGGGCATGTACCTTGGTTGCGGGGACATCCCCAGTGGGGGGGTGTGCAGGAGGCAGCTGATTGATGTTTCTCTCATCATCGATGTTTCTAGCTCTCTATCCTCTCCCTTCCTCTCTGTAAAAAAATCAATAAAATATATATTTTTTAAAAAAACAAAAACAGCCGGGACCGGTTTGGCTCAATGAATAGAGCGTCGGCTTGGGGACTGAAGGGCCCCGGGTTCAATTCCGGTCAAGGGCATGTACCTTGGTTGCGGGCATATCCCCAGTAGGGGGTATGCAAGAGGCAGCTGATCAATGACTCTCTCTCATCGATGTTTCTAACTCTCTATCTCTCTCCCTTCCTCTCTGTACAAAAATCAATAAAATATATATTTAAAAAAAGAAATGAGGAACCTTTGTAATAATATGAACAATAAAGATTGATTTAAAAAACAAACAAAAAATAAATAAAACAAGGACTGGTTAGGAGTCCTGAAGCGCTGGGCTCGCGGGAGGTGGTGTTACTGGGTCCATTGCCCTTAGCATTCAGTGGGAACGGGAGGGAGAATCATCCAAAGAACTTGTCCCCAGCAGCATGACACCCCCTTCCTGGGTCGCGGGCTTCTCATGGCTTTAGCAGTAGATGTGGCCTGTGGTCCCACAGGCCCTTGGGAACTAGCAGCCCTGGGGGGCTGGTGGGGAGGAGGCAAGTCCCCCAGCAGCCCTGTCACCGGCATTAGCTCTCAGGGAGGGGGAGCCAGAGGATTAGGAACAAGTGGGGAGAGGGTCGGCCTCAGTCTGGAGTTTAGCTGTGACCTGGTGCCAGAGCCAGAGGGCACAGTGCCCACTCGTGCAGTGATCTGCAGGTGTGTGGGACACATTCCCCCGTCGCCATCTTTGTGATGACCTTCCCACTGGCACCCTGTGTTGCCCTGCTCAACAATGGGTGGAGAGCTGACTGGACCCCCGTAAGTCCGTGTCTGAGCTCCGGCTGCCAGAGGCTGAGCAGACACAGGGCTTTGGGGTCTGACTGCTCCTACTTCAGTCGCGGTCAGTGTGGGTGCGGTGCAAAGGCGTGGAATACAGGGTGGGGAGTAACGGAGATCAGAGACTGGGAGGGAGGCTCAGGAGGAGGGAAACGGAGGCTGGAGCCGGAAATCGGGGGCAGAGATTGGGAAACAGGGACAGAGGGCTAGGACCCTGCGGCTTGGGCTCCTCCTGCCTGTGGGAGTGCGAGGAGGGGGTGAAACGGGGCCCTGAACACCCTCCAGCCCAGCTCGCTCTCCCCAGCGCCTTCCCCGGGGACTGCCACGTCTCCTGGGCCAGTGGGAACAGCACAGCCTGGCGTCCGCACCTCCAGCCCAGCTGGCCCAGGGCAGCCACGCCACCCGGCAGGAGGCGGGCCCAAGGGCCTGCAGGACCCTGACCCACGTCTAAGGCTTAACCCAAGAAAAGCCAAGGGGGTATTTCTGGCCCAGGAAGAGGGTGTTAGGCTGCGGGGGGCGGGCCCTGCCTGGGAGGGGTGGGGCACCGCCTGGGAGAGGGATGGGGCAGGGACCAGCTGGGGGGCAAAAAGCCGAGTCTGGGGAAGGGAGGAGTGGGCAGAGCTGGAGGGCAGGGGCGGGAGAGGCCGGCGTGGAATCCAGAGCCTCGCGGGACCCCCGCGCCCTCGGCAACCCAGGCGCGTCCTTCCCGCGGGGGAGGGAGCCTCACTCTCTCCTGCTGGAAGCTGCTAGCTGTGCGTCATCTCGGCTTCATCATCTCCTTGAGGTAGGCTCAGCGTCGCACAGACCTGGGTTCAAGGTCAGGCTCTGCCGCCGACAGGCTGCACGTGGGGAAATATGACAGAACAG